GGCTGAGCGCTCATGGGCTCCACTTCCCGCCCCGTGCACGTCACAGTGGGAAGGCCGGCGAGCGGACCTGTCCTCGGAGCAGGGTGGATGGCCAGGGAGCAAGGTGGACACCGGCTGGGGGCGCCCTGGTGCCTTCCCTCTGCCCAGGGACCTCACACTTCACAGCCCACCTGCTGCGCACAGCGCATGCCCAGAATGGCCTCAGCGCTTTGCCTCTGAGAACTTCACAGCCCACCTGCTGCGCACAGCGCATGCCCATAATGGCCTCAGCGCTTTGCCTCTGAGATGGCATTGCCTCCCCAGCGCCTGGAATCTGCGGTGTACCCTGCCCCCTAGAGGTGGCCTGGGGGGGGGGGTCGAACCTCCAGAGGCCTTTTAAAGTCCTCATCATCCAGTTGTTGTTTTTTAAAAATATATATTTCTTATTGATTTCAGAGAGGAAGGGAGAGGGAGAGAGAGATAGAAACATCAGTGATGAGAGAGATCATTGATCGGCTGCTTCCTGCACGTCTCCTACTGGGGATCGAGCCCGCAACCCGGGCATGTGCCCTGCCTGACCAGGCATCGAACCGTGACCTCCTGGTTCATAGGTCAATGCTCAACCTCAGAACACCAGCAGCCTTGAACTTTCTAATAGAATTAAAGTTGCCGACTTTAAAAATGGCTTTAAATGGGCCTGGTCAGACATCACACAGGCGGAGGTGGGCGCCCTAGGTCAGAGCAGCAGGGTCTCCACGTCATCCATAATTTCTTGATAGTTTTTCTCCAAAATAAAATTAATCTTTTTCGTTTCTTGAGCACATCACTCATTGCCTCCCAGCTGTTCTCTGTTATGGCCGGACGTGCCAGGCCTGCCCTGCCCGCCTCCCAGGGTCCAGGGTCCATGGTGGAGCTCAGTGGTCAAGCTCAGACAGACCAGTGTTCACATCCCAGCGGCATGGGCTGTGGGGCCCTGAGCAGGTTGCCTAGTGCCCCCTGGGCGTCAGTGTCACCGTTTGTAAAGGGTTTGCCCTCACCGCCGGGCACAGCATGAGCGCTCGGCAAATGGTGGCTGCGGTTAGTAAGTTGCTGTTAGTTTATTTGCTGCCCGAATGGACCAGTGTGTGACTTGCTGTGTGCTCGGGCCTGATAAGTGCTTTGAAACAGGACTCATGCCCGATGCCTCTGTTCCCCCTTCCCCACCCCCTACCCCCAAACCCCAGGATGGTGGTGGTTTTGAAATATGTTCTTAATAAATACTAGAGGCCCGGTGCACGACATTCATGCACTTGGGGGGGGGGCAGGTGTGTGTCTCACAGTCCGGGAGCCCTCAGGGGATGTCCAACTGATGGCTTAGGCCCGCTCCCTGCGGGCCACTGTGCTCTCCAGCTGTCAGCCCAGCTTGTGGCTGAGCAGCGTTCCCCCTGTGGGAGCGCACTGACCACCAGGGGGCAGCTCCTGTGTTGAGTGCCTGCTCCCTGGTGGTCAGTGCACACCATAGCGACTGGTCGTTCTGCCTTTCGGTCGATTTGCATATTAGCCTTTTATTATATAGGATTTGTTCAGAGTTTATTCGACATGCCCAAAGATGATCCACATTGGATTACATTCATGCTGTGACTATACCTTATCATTTTTTATAACAAAAACAGCAGCAGCTGATAGGGTGGCCAGCTTTGTGGAGGACCCCAAATGTAATGTAGTTAAAGGTCTTATCGTGGGAGGGGGTGCAAGGGTGGGTCAGTTTCTCCAGAGAAAGGTCCTCCAGTGATGTGGGCTGAGGCTGGCGGTTCGGGGAGCAGGCCTCCCCGTAACTCCCATGTTGGCTTTGCACCCACTTCCTCTGGGCCTGTCTTTCCCCTGCCGAGTTCCCACAGGCCCCCCCTTGGAGATGGGGGCGTAGTCACCCGACTGCCCGTTGAGGGGCTGCTTAACTGCTGGCACAGACGGCCCAAATCTCCCTGCTGAGCACAGTCCAGGGCATTTCCAGGCTCCAGGGCCACGTGCTCCACACAGTCATCCAGGGCTCAGGCGGCTCCCTCCCGTCAGCTCAGGGGGGATCAGGGAAGAACGGGTGCTTGCTGTGAGCAGAGCATGGCTCCCCCCGAGCACCCCAAACGGGGTAATTAGGAGCCTTCTCAGGAGATGGAGAAAGGGGCGTGGTCAGGTGAGGAAGCCTGGTTGAGCCGCGTGAGGAAGACTCGGGCCTGTGCCTCCCGGGCCCCAGTCCTCCCTGGGAGAGTGGCCGAGAGCCAGGCCCGGAAGTGGAGGGACCACTCCATGCCCCCTCCATCGCCAGAACACAGTCCCTGCCCACCGGGCCGCCCAGTCCCGGGCAGTGTGGTCTGGCGTGTGCCAGGAAGAGAAGGAACAGAAGGGGGCCTGGAGGGGCCAGGGCGGCCGGGCACAGTGGTGGCCCTTGGGGGGCCCTCCAGCCCTGCGTGCAGGGCCCTGAGGGGACAGT